AAATGCAAGATAATGCATGTGGGTTATCATAATTTGATTTATAAGTATAATTTGGATGGGAATAACCTTAACAGTGTTATGAAGGGAATAGATGTTGGTGTAATAGTCGATCAGTCTCTAAAGCTGTTCAGGCAGTGTACTGTGGCTAGTGGTAGAGCAAAGAGGATTTTAGGTTGTATCTACAGAAATATTGAATACAAGTCTAAAGAGGTTATAACTTCATTGTATAGGTCACTGGTTAGGCCACATTTCAAATATTGTGTTCAGTCTTGGGCTCTTTACCTTAGGAAGGAGATTGAATTGTTGGAAAGGGTTCACAGAAGGGTTCTTAGAATGGTGCCTGGGATGGAGGGGTTGTCATAGGAGGTGAAGCTGAAATCTCTGAAATTGTTTTCTCCTGAAAAAAAGAAGAGTTAGGGGGTTCTGATTGAGGTGTTTAAGATTGTAAAGGGAATTGATAGTGTTTATCCATCATCTTTTTTCATATTCAACAGCAAGAATAGTAGGACTAGGGGACATAAATATACATTTTGGCAAGGTAGGAGTCTTCTTCAGCTAAGATAGTTTCATTTTTCTAACAGGGTGGTTAGCCTTTGGAATGGGTTGACTTCAGATGTTGTAGGGGCAGTAAATTTAAGTGAGTTTAAGAAAAAAGCTTGATAAGTATATGAATGATAAGGTCTGGATTTAAGATTTCTTTATTTTATTATTTTAATTTAATTTAGAGGATGGAACACCCAAGATGTACCAATAGGTCCCATGTTGTCCCAAAACATTATGTTATGTTATTACACTTAGATATGTCTACAAAATGGACCACAAACAGTGAAGAATGTTAGCCTGTCGGTGTGTTAGGTGTATCATGTTTTACTGAACTCACCAGTTGACCTTCATAGCTGGACCACAAACAGTGAAGAATGTGGTATTCTCAGGTTCACTGATTTTCCTTTGAGTAATTGAGCAGGACCTGCAAGATAACACAAGGTTTGACAGAAAGTGTTTTGCAAAGTTCAAATGAATTCTCTTGGTTCTAAACTGAGATTATGAGTAAAGAAAGAGAATGGACACAAGTTAAAACAATCTTTAACAATTAACCATAATGTCAAATATCTAAATGCTTTGAGCTGTCAGAAAAACTGCAGAACTTGGTGAATAATCTCTGTTCTAAAGTCAAAAACATATCATTATATACATAGTTCTGTAATGCTATTCTTTTCAGGATGCATGCACCACCTAACTCCCTGTTGGTCATTATAATAAAAAAATAAAGTAAAATTTTCCTCAAGGTATTACCTGACCTACCAGTGGAAAAAAAAAGCAGTGCCCACTGTTAAATAGCATGCTCTTTCTCACAAGAAAACACACATGATGCCAAAAAAAAAGAATGACCCAGAACAATAGATAACTAGGGAAAAAGAAAATTAACTATTTCCTTGACCAGTGGAGTAGGAAGGAGTTGCAAAGTGGGGTGCTTTGCATGCCCACCCCAAAAAAAGCTAGTATAATATTATAATTTATAGTTGCTATATAAGTCAAATATGTAAAAGTGGGGGTGCTACATTTCCTACACCTCTGTTGACTAATGTTCTATTTTAATCCTACATAAACATGTATGCATGAAAATCTTGAAAAAGTTGCAAATAAATTTTATGGGTTCATTTTACTAAGTAAAGGAGATAGAAAACACCTACTATGTCTGGATATTACATAAATACCTTCTCTGCTTCTTCGTGGTGTTCAGTGTAACTGGAGAGCTTGAAGTGCTTTGCTACTGGTGTTTCTCCTTCCCTATATTAAACTTACCTGGTTAAGAAATTATTAGTACAAGTCTTACAAATTGCTCACTTATATCCTCAGGTGTGTCTTTGTGAAGTTTATACAAACACTGATAATATTGTATGTTGTAGCAAGGTTCTCTTTCAGTAAGTTTATAAAAATGTAACTTACAGCTTTAATCATTGCATCTTGATATAAAAAAGAATTATTTAAACATATTATAATTTGTAATGAGTTAAATTTCCAGATAATAAACTATTCTCTGGTTTAATTTTGTTTTAAATGTATAAACATTGTATTTGTGTGAGTTAGTGGTGAGCAACCTAACCTAATCTGTGGGCTATATGTACAGCTCTCAACACCCATCAAGGGCTGCAAAACCCACTTTAGCAGTTACAAGCCAAATAATGATCATTAGAATAAAAATAAGCTTTATATGAAACACATTAATGTTATAGTAGTGATCACTTAGCAACAGACTTCCAATCTTATTACTGATGAGAATGAAAAGTTATGGTAAACAATAAATAAATAATCTAAGTTTAAATTTTAATTTCCTAGCACTAATGCATTATGTAACTTTCTTGAAAAACTTGTGATAAGTTATGTTTTTTTAAGATACACGTACAGGGCTATGTGTGGGTCTACGGGTTGTTCACCACTGATCTAAGTTAATTATTTATATATCTTGTAAGTTGTATTGTGCCATTCACAGGTTTTTATTTTGCATAAATTGATCAAAAAATGTGGGATAAAATTATTATTGTGCACTACTGAATTTTATAAAAGAATTGTGCTTAAATATAATATTGAATTTTTGTAAATTGAAGTAATTATGTTATGGATGTGGAGAACTCTAAAGATAATTGTGGTTGGTATAAGGATTGTGGTTTTTGTTAAGTATTTTAACTCAGAGTCATTAAGATGTTGAAATTTGTAATTTTCTTGTTATACGATAAATTATTTGAACCTGAACTTGCATTACAGGAATAACCTGGTTATCTTTCTAAGCATGCAGAATTAAATAACTGTACGATGTGTGACACAGTTAACAAAACTGTGCCAAATTATAGTGAGGCTAACAATTCATAATGCAATATAAAAAAAATGTGTATCGTACTTTCTACTTTACATACCTTCTAGCCTTTTTTGTTTTTGTTGAGTAGTTATTTTAGCTGTAGTGTTGTAACCTTGTTAGTGTTCTTTTTAAGCTCAGTTTTGTAACTTCGTTAGTCATCGCTTTAGCATCAGTTTTGTAACTTCATTAGTCATCGCTTTAGCATCAGTTTTGTAAATTCGTTAGTAGTCACTTTAGCTTCAGTTTTGTAACTTTGTTAGTAGTCACTTTAGCTTCAGTTTTGTAACTTTGTTAGTAGTCACTTTAGCTTAATTTTTGTAACTTTGTTAGTAGTCACTTTAGCTTCAGTTTTTTCACTTTTCTTTATACAGTATGTGGATGTTCTATTTTACCCAAGACATACAGACAGACATACGCATGTACTTACATGGATAATAAATATAAGTTTATTGTCAGATTGTTCATCATTGATAAATGTGAAAAGTTATCTTTAGAAATGTGTGCAATTGATACCATAGAAACTGTTAAATGTTCTACATGTGGTTGGTTCTTATATTGTTTATAGATATTGATAACTTTATACTTGAGGGAGACTGCAGTCCTCCTACTGATCAGGCTGGAATGCTATGGGATGGGATATGTTTTGGCTTCTTACTTTTACAGAAGCGACTCTTCTGTAGTTTCTACTTTCAACATATGGTCACTGAGATTGAGTTTCAACAAGTATTAGCATCGAGGTTAGTAAGTAATACAAAAAAAGGTATTTTATACCATAAAAATAGCTAATTTTGTGGGAAATGATACTTATATGAATATATAGTTTATTTAAATACAAACTCCCATCTTTTGACTGTAAGTTAAAAGTATGAGAACTAATCTAAATTTGACTTAATTTTGAAAAATTAAGAACACTGTTAAGTTAACAGTATTTTCAGTTAATTGGATTGCACTTCTTCCTTTTTGTTTTTATTAGTTGTTTGTATATTGAACTTCTGTTCCCTGATAATCTTGAGCAGTGGTTCACAAATCTTTCAAGTTGGTTTACTCCTTTTCAAATGTAGTATAAATTATCCTACAACTTGATTCTGACACTAAAAGTAAATACAAAATGAAATACCTTCAGCTATAAAATCTGAAATTGTTACTATTACTGCTATTAGTAAGTATAATTTACAAAGTTCTGGGACATTGACAAATTACAAATAATAGTTAGTTAGACCAATAAACAGATAAAATATTTTTTCATCATATCTTTTATTTTTCTCCTTTTCTTTGGCTGAGTCCTTTGATGACCAACATGTACCTCCTAGGGCATGTGTAGCAGTTTAACAAACTGTGGTATATTAATGTAAAACTGAACCAACCTTCGAACTGTTGAATAGGTCTTCTTAATGACTGAAGATTCAATCAAAATACTTTTCATAAAATAATACTAACTAAATGAGTTGTAATGCTAAATGAAATAATGAAACTGGATACAAAGTGAAATGCAAAATTAATAGTCTTTATTGTAACATTAAAACACAAATTGTGTGTTTTTGCTGTTACTTACATGGGGCAATCACTTATTACTGGATCCTGTATATTCAACTGTTCAAATTAAATCCATGTACCAGACAGTCTAAGGCCAATGTTTTTAAGTTTGTAAGAAATCTTAAATTTACCTACAGCAGCTAGTTCTACCAATGTGACTGGTCATTCTATTCTCATTAATACGTAGGTGAAGTCATAACCTCAAGATATAACCTGAACAATCACTGAAGGACGTTTCTGTGGACATTCTTGCATAATATGTAATAAATAATGTTTTGTTATCAAAGTTTTCATTTGTATTTAATAATTTTCATTTAATTTCTGTTGTTTTTAATGTTCACCAGAGGTGCAACACTCATCTATGAAAATAAGATACAAGAAGTTCATAAACAGCAAGAGGCTGACAAGGAAATCATGGAAAAGATTAAGAAGAAGATGAACAAAATTAAAGCTCAATCAAATCAACAAAAAGAAAAAAAAGAATACAAGGAGCCTGAAAGTCATTTCCAAGGTCAGGCACATTGGAATTACAAAACATTGGGGTAGCTAATTGTTAATAAATGAAAATTGTTTGACAGTCAGTAAAAATGCTTTAAAATATTATTCTGCAATATCACAAAATAACAAGCACTCATTTATTGATATATTAAAACAGTCCTTGTTGTCAAGGGTCATCTATAATACATGATCATAGAGAGTAGACTGAATGTGCATAAGGAAGGGATACTTGCTTCAGTAACCTTAGTAGCTATTCTTCAAACAGGAAGAATTATGTAGAGTTGGAGCATTTGTAGAAACGAATAAGTATAGAAACAAACTTGTATTGAACAAATTATTGACCAAACATTTGCAGTCCCTAGTAAATAGACCATATGCATTTTCACATATTTTGTTGCTAGTTTTGATGTTTGTGAAAAGTACAGTAAACTTTCAGCATTTCATAACCTTTTGAGAAGTCATTAGTGTAATAAGGATAATTTTCTAGACCTAATGTCTAAAACAGTTGGTTTAATATTTCTCATTTAAGAAAGCAAAGCTTTCATTACACATTTCAGAAGTATAATATTTCTTTAAAAACTATTTTGCTTAATTTCAGTTAAACATTTTCTTGAATATTTGGTCAATATCTAATTATTTCCTGCTGTAGGAGCAATAACATTGATGTCCTGTACCATGCCGTATCAGCTGTATATGATTAGTGCATATAGTATTTAGTGCCTCTTCTTTAATACACTGATTCGATAACCTGGTGTGTTTTAGTCCTGAGTGTTGTATATAGCAATGATCATTTCTCTTATAATAAACTGACTTGATAACCTGGTGTGTTTTAGTCCTGAGTGTTGTATATAGCAATGATAATTTCTCTTATAATAAACTGACTTGATAACCTGGTGTGTTTTAGTCCTGAGTGTTGTATATAGCAATGATAATTTCTCTTATAATAAACTGACTTGATAACCTGGTGTGTTTTAGTTCTGGGTATGATTTGATAATCTTGTGTTTTAGTCATGAGAATGGCTTGGTAACATGGTGTGTTTTAGTTCTGAGTACGATTTGTTAACCTGGTATGTTTTACTCCTGAGTATGATTTGATAATATAGTGTGTTTTAGTTGTAAAAATGACTTCATAACGTGGTGTGTTTTAGTCCTGAATAGTGTATATAGGAATGATCTTTTCTTTTTTAATGCACTGACTTGATAACCTGATGTGTTTTAGACCTGTGTAGTGTATACTGAATGATCATTTGTAAAGTTTGTTGAAAAATTTATAAACCAACATGTACACTGTGATGATTAGATAAAATAAGATTAAATATTAGGTAAATACATATGTTGTTAGCGATTACATCTATGATAATGTAGTAGAAACAAATTAAGGTTTGCTGAGAGTGATTTCAAACATTATTTTTATTTTTAATGTTTAATTTTTTACTTAGAATATGAAGTTTATTTTAAATTGAAAGTAGAAATGCTCACTCCAAGCTTGTATGGTAGCTTGTTTTTCTTATCATCATCACCTCATTGTTTGCCCCATTTGATTGTGTGGTCTACTTTACTCATCCTATGCTTCCATTTGTTTTGATCCATTGTGGATTCTTCCTCTTCAACACCACACACTTTCACGTCCCCTTGAATGCTGTCAAACCATATCTTTTTTCTCGGTCATTTGCCCTCAATTTCCATTGATGTGATTATTACCAACCCACTCCTCTAGTGTTCATACCATTTGACGTGGCTTCTTTGTATCTTTTCTGTTTTGGCTGTCTCACTTATACTTTCTCAAATGTACATGTTGCGTATTTGATCTTTCCTAGTAACTCTACACATACAACTCAACATTTTCATCTTTGTCATATGTAATGGTTAAGCATGTTTTCTTGCACATTGGAACATTCACTTCCATACCTTATGACTGGTCAGATCATTGTTTTATACATCATTCCATTCAATTTCACAGACTTTTTTTGGTTGCATATGACTCTAGATGCCTCACATAATTTCATCCATCCTCTTGCTATCCTGTCTTTCATCTCTTCCTCAACATATTCATCACTCTGAATTATCAATCCTAAATATTTAAATTTTTGTGATTGTGTTTTTTTAGGTTCTCTAGGAATATTAATGGTTCTGCTGTTTTATGCATCATGACTAAAACTACCTTTATATTTCATTTCTCTTTTATCTTCCCACCATTACATATCAGTTGTCCGTTTATGTCCTTAATGATTCTCAGTCCTTTGTCACTAGATCTCTAGTTCTCACTGGCTTGTTACTATCATCTTCTGCTCTCTGGTTTCCAATTTATCATAGGTCTTATTTTGTGTTTGAGCCTTTTTCCTGATAACAGCCTACTTCACTCCCCTGTATAACTTCAGATCTTTGATACTTTTCAATTTTTGGCATTTTTTGTTTAAAAACTTTTATTTTCCTTGATGACATATTGGACATTATCACTCCACCATCACATTTTCTTATCAATAAGTACATCTCTTTTCAACTTTTCTGTTATCCCTTTGGCACTATTAAGTATAACTCTTTCTACCTTATTCTACATTTCCTCAGTGTTCTGTATGTCTTCTTTGATCTTAATGAGATGTGGCAGTACCCTTCTTTTAAAGTCTTTGTTTTTCTTGTCTTTTAACTTCCACCACTTGTTCTTGGCTGCAGTTTTGGCCTTACATGTTTTCTTCTCTTCCTCATATTCGATACTTATAACTAGCATTTTGTGTTGTGAGGCTCTTCTCAGGTATTACCTCACAGTTTTTCACACATTGTATTTACTGCTGGTATATAGTATGTAGTCAGTTTGACTACTAAAGTCTCCACTTTTGTAAATTATGGCATTTTCTGCGCTCAAAGGAAAAATGTGCTTACAATTGCAAGGTCATATGCCATCACTACGTTCAAGATATTTACATCTTTTACACACCAAGTCCATGTCCTCCATACTCTCTTTCAAATCCTTTTCTTTGGTGACAAAAATGGCAGCTTAGATCACTTCCAATTATTGTTGTCTCTCTGTTTTTAATGCCTTTAATGCTCTGTTTTTAATTTTTCCCTGTCGTCACATTCAGCTTGTGGTGCATAAGTGCTCACTATTATAATGTTAGCTGAATGCCCATCATATGACAGAAAATACTGATTAATGTTTCTTTTGAAAATTAAATCTAAATAAATGTTTTATGTATATTTTTTATATGATGTTCAAATCATCTTATTGATAAAGCCATATAGCTTGAATCATGCAAAAAACTGGTTATCGAAAAAATATTCCTACATGGTCAAATGTTTTACACTGCAATATATTAATTGTGATGGAAAGCAAAGAATTTGAGGCTGAAGAGAAAGTGCACTAAGGTATAACTTTTAATAAAAAAATGCTTATAAAATTTTTGGGTGAATTTTTAAGTCTCTTACCTAAGTTGAAAAACATTGATAATAATGTATTGTAGCGTCATGTATTGGGTTGAAAATATATTTAAGTTATGTTTAACATAGACAGACACTGATGTTTGTATTTCTCCTAATATTCAAAGATCTTGTTGTAAATACAGGGTGTTCATAAAGTCCTTATGCAACTTTAAACGTTTATAACTTTTGATGTACCCATGGTAGAAGCAAACTGTAAACAGTACAAAAAACGTAATTTATGAAGTTTTATTACAATACAGTTTAATTTTTTGAATTTCAACCTAACCTCCATCTGTATCAATACATTTTAAAGCTAATTTTCGAAGTTTCCAAAAACATTTTCAAGCTCTTACTGAGTAATGTCATGCATTGCATTTGTGGTTCTTGATCTAAGTTTTTCCAAAAAAATCAGCTTTGATGAATAGACAGTAGTTTTTACATTGTCCCATAAGTCCAAATGGAACAGCTCAGGGAACTAAGGAGGCCTAGCAACTGGTCCACATCTGAATATCCACCTCATGGGGAAGACATCCTTCAAAAACTTGCACACATCTAAAACAAAGTGGCAGGGAGCACTGTCTTGTTGGAAGAAGATGATATCTAAAAGATTCAATTGGCATAATTCATGGATAAAGAAATTTTGTAATATAGCAAGATGTTGTTCACCATTCACTGTTGTTTCATTAAAAAAGAAAGGACCAATAATGCGTGACTTCCTAAGAGCATTGTAGTAAAACTTTATGAATTATGCTTTTATGTACAATATACAGTTTGTTTCTGTTATGTGTACATCAAAATTTACTACAGCTTAAAGTTGCACAAGAACTTCATGAACACCCTGCGTGATAATAAATATTTTAAAACATAAATTTAAAAAAATTAACAAAGTTCTGACTTGACTGGGATTTGAATGTGAGACTTTCTCTTGAGACTAACCACTGAGCCAATTTGAATGCTACCAATAAAGAAAGAAATACAAATACAGAGTGGCTTATATATATATATATATACATATAGATAGATAGATAGATATTCTATAACCAGGGATAGTCTTAGACATGAGCCTGTCACTTACATGTTTGACCTTAAAGATTCTGTTCTTTAACTCTACAGATTATCATGTCAACATCATTATTTCCTGTTGCCGTTCCATTGTACAGGAGTTTAAAACCACTGATTTCTTTAGCTTTGGCACCTTTCCAGTGTGTTTCTTTGATGCATGCATTTTGGATCTTCTGTTGATTTAGAGTGTCAGATAATTCATGATTCATTCCTGTTAGTGTTCTGATATTCTATGTGAAATGTATTTTCCTAACTAACTTCTTTGGTTGTGCCCATCCTTGAAATGGTAGCCGTCACCCATTTTTCACAGGAAACTGGTGTATTTCCTGCATGTTGCTTCTGGGGACACCATAGCCATTATTGTATTTCTCTCTAATGCCTTATTCTTAGATTCTGGCAACTTGGTTTTCCCTGCTGATTGCTATCTGACCAAAACCCCTAATGATTTGGAGGACCAAGTGGATTGCTTGTTTGACTGAGAGTCATGGAAGTGGCAAACTCTGTCACCACATCAAGGGCATGCAGCCTTGTTTTTTCATGATTTTAAATGGAAATTCTCAAGCTATTTGATGTAATATCCATTTATTTAGTTTAATATCAAGAGTAATTTGAGCTGCTGCTAAAGATATATATAAATCACCTAATTTTCTTTTTTTATTTACAATAGTAGTAATGTTTGGCTAAAACACTGTCAGTTATCTAAAATAAATGTTTACATATTTGAGACATTATTTATTCTTTAGCTATAAGGTCTGGAGATTATTATATGCTTGACGATATTCCTGATGAAGATATAGACCTAGAACTCTCACCATCCAAAAAGTATGATGATGAAGATGAGGACCATGAAGCAAAAGAGAAAGGTGTGAATGCTGTAAGTATAATGATAACGATTCTTCTTAGTAGGGGATGTAGGATATGTGATATTGTTTGAAGTTTGAACTAGAATAGTTTAACATTTTAATACCCTTTAGATGGAAGAACTGTTTTAGAAATTTTATGTTTTTTGAAATTGATCAAAACTTTAAAAATTTTTGCTGTAATAGTTTATTTAATAAAAATATTTTTGAATTACACCTATTAAACTGACCCTGAAATTTATGAATTTTCTATCATTACTTATTTCTTATTACTATTTTAATTTCAAATAAAACTTTTAAATGTAGAACAGTGTCTGTAAAATTTAACAATTTCAACATGAATATTATTTAAAAGTAACCTTATATTATTACAGTTTTTATTTGGTATTTCATCTGGTAATATTACAGGCATTTTTGAAATAAATTATTCTATAGTTGCACGGTGCTCTTGTGAATTGTATATTCTCATAGATCTACTAAGCATGGTAAATATGATTATTAGTTATTGAGTCAAGCCTTGAAGTCACAAAGTGAATGTGATTTGGAAGAACCTCAGAAAGGTGATGATGATCAACAGTCTGTGGATAGATCTCCTGGCTTGTCTCAGGTAAATATTTTTAATGATTAATAATAGGGTTGAAAAGAAAAACTGTCTTATTTATATTATTAGTAAACCACAAGTAATAAAGAAGTATCATAGGTATGTTTTTTAAATTTTTTTTCTCTATATCAGTTCCTTACAACTCTTACAAGTTAGAATTCTAGAATCTTAGACAAGTGATGGGGTGTTTTACTGTAACCAATTTGTACTTTGTACATTATCATATTTTTTCTAAATATTTCTTGAAATGCTGGTAGTTCAGTTGCTAGAGCACTAGTCTCAAAGTACTCTTGTAAGCTGTGAGTTCTAGTTCAAATCCCACTCAGAGCTGGTTGCTTTCACTGATTTCTGATTACCATAAATGAAAACTAGCTAAAATTTCACTAGTTTAATACAAACATGATTTTATAAGAAAATTTCTCAAATGTAGTTACAAATACTGATCAAAGTCAAGGATTAGTTTAACATTTTTTACAAATTTAAAAGTAATTTCCATTTTATCAGACCTTTTCATTTGAGGGTAAATTAATGCTATTTAAATACTACTGGGACACATAGTGAAATCTATCCTGAGATACTTAAAGGAACCATTTATGCATATCCTTCCAAAACATACATACCTCCGCTGACACTTATAGCTATTTCTCGATCTTCATCTTTGCCATTTAAACATTGTGTTCGTTTGCTCTAGTTTTTATACCCCACTTGACTGCCCTCTGCGATATCTAATTTGCAAAACTTTACACCGGAGTCTTCTCATTGATTTATACATTTGTAGGGGGACCAAATGTAGCAGTTCCAAGCTCTCCCAGAGTAGTATGGGCCTTAGAGCAGCATCTTCATTTTCTGGGTCTGTGCACACATTGCTATTTGGAAGATTGACTTTTTTTGGCACCAACCTGTCATGTTGGCACACTACACCCACATATTCCCCTTTCTGAAGCCAGAAGGGTGGACTTCATATCAGGTTGGAAAAATCTACTCTCTCACCAACTCCATACATAGTCCATCTTGAGGTGTTTTTCACTGCACTTTGAGTGGAGCTCGACCTTCAGACTTCACACTATGGAAAAGATTGTCAAGCATTTGTTTATGTCACATTCTCCCACTGCATGTATGGTTCTGCTTGTTTTGGGACTTGGGCTTCCATAAAATCCTTCATACCATTGTTTCAGGCCCATATGAAATCCCTTCAGTAGTCACTTTGTGGCCAGTGGCTCATGCATACCAATCCTTTGGATCACACAGTCTCTTTGCCCAAACAATATGCAGATATCAAGTAGTGACTAGCCAAGAACAACACAAATATCAGGATCTGGATACCACCACCTTGTGTGGAAATCCATCTCTTGATGGACGCTTCTCTTCACAGATGGAGTGCCTTATTTTTGAGGTAGTCATTCCAGGGTATTTGGACCGACTACAAATCTACCCTGCATATAAACATTCTCAAACTTCTTGTAGTACATCTAGCAATGATTCCAGGTCTTCCTCTCTTACACAACAAAATGGTCATGATTCATTTTGACTACTCCACAGTGGTTTCATATCTTTCTTGTCAGGAAAGTTCTCATTCTTTCAATCTTGGTTTTCGGGCTTTGAATCTTTTTTTTCAGCTCATTCCAATGACATCTATCTTTTAACCTGTCATATAACATGGGATATGATTTTCCTTTCTTGACCCCATCAGATCCTTCCACCAGCATGGATGTTCCATCAAGTGGTCTTTCAATGGATTTGTTCTCAGTTCAGCTCTCCAATGATAGACACCTTTGCAACCAATTGGATTGCTAGCCTAAACTTCTGGTCTCCAATTTCACATCCTCAAGCTCTGGTGATAGATACTTTCAGTCAAGACTGGACAGGATTCCATTTGTATGCCTTTCCTCCTATTCATCTCTTGCCCAGACTCTTGTCTATGATTCATTTCACCCCATGTTGGGTTCTTTTGTCAGCATCTTTTTGGCCTGCTCAGACATGGTTTTCTCTTCTTCAGTTGCTCCAGAAATGTTTATTCATTCATACTTGTTGAGACAACCTCAGTCCAACATTCAACACCTGGACATTTAATGCTGGACTCCAGCTTCATGCATGGACGTTATAAATTCCTTTGCCCGACCATAGGGGTTTAAATTTTACAGTTTCCGTTTATTTGACTGTATCCACCATCAACCTACTCTGGCAATCTATTGATGGAAATGGGCTACATATTGTTAGTGGTGTCTTTGGTGAGCCTTCAACCCACTTCATCCAACAGTTTCCTTGGTTTCAAGTGTTTTGACATGGATTTTTGAAAGGTTTGGCTTCTACCTTGCAGTATATACAGCATCCTTTGCTGCTCCCTTTTGCTCTTCTACATATACGAAGGTTTTTGACTCCTGTGCTCTCTCATTTAGGATCCTTTTATATTCTTCATCCCAAACAACCATTTCAGTTGCCTAATTGGGACTTCAGAGTTATTTTTTCATGCATTATCACTTTATCCCTTCCAACCTATGGCCTTCTGTTCTTTGTAACACCTTTCCCTCGAGGTATATTTCTATTGTTGTTAGCTTCCAGATGCAGCTGTTTTGATTTATTTTGCCATCCCTATTCAGCAGACTCTCTATCCTTCCACCTATTTTTTTGCTCTGTCCAGACAGATCCTTCCTACTGAACACACTCGCTGCCAGAGAAGGGAATAAATTCTTTTTTCCCATTCTTATCCCGTACAAGCTCTGACTGGGCACAAAAGTTCCGGGTATGATAGATTGTAAAGATGAGAAATGCTTGGAACTGTTCAGGTGCCCTATGTACCGGCTTTTTATTAAGTGGGTTATCCTGCAGTGTCCTTGGATTTATCACCCATTACATTAACTGGGGGCTTCAGGAGTTGATTCCTATAGCCTATTTGGGGTTATCTGTTGTAGATTGAAATATACTCCACATCACTTCTCACCAGAATCAGCATCTGTCAATGTCATTGTTTGCTCGTCTGAACTGTTCTCTCCCCCATGGTTGTGTTGACTACCTCTGCTGGATTTTAACAAGGAGGTGTGTAACTTTCTTACCTGATTAACAGTTTTTCTTCTTTTTCATAGGGTCCCTCTTTATTTCCTTTGGATCCCACTCAGTGGCGAGTGTTCCCCAGTGAGGTGTGCTTGTATATTTTTCAATTCTGCACTAGCAACCATTATATCAGTTCATGGTTGCAACAGGCTCTGTCAAGATGAGGTGTTTCATTAGGCCATCTATACACAATTCAGGTTGGTAGTATTATCTCACAATAAAAAACCAATGGACCGCTACTCATGGACTATTATGAGTAAAACTAAAGGGATTTTGCCAGTCCCTGCTAATCTTAGAGCTGAATCAGTTGAGATCGGTTTGCTTTTAAAACTTAAGGAATGTGGTTCACCTGTTGCACTGTCTTCGGAAACCTGTTCCTCAGGACTCCTCACAGCACACATGTCCTCCCTACTGCTACTAGTGGAGCTAGGGAGTCGTTACCACACCCAGTTGCCGGAGTGGTGGACAGAGTATTTTTGTTTGTAGTATGGAGTTTTCTCCACTCTCAGAGAAGAAGGCAAAGTTGGAGACCCTCCTACCTGGTCGATATTTGATGCTTTGCTATCGGGTGGGGTGTGCTTGGACGCTCTTATGAACACTGTCAGGTCTTAGGTCGTTTGTGCAGGGGGTCCACTATCTCCTCGTAAATCCAAATGCAACAAGGTCCCATCTTAGGTCCTTGGTGGAACCGTGTTCCACATCCTCTCCATCATTCCATAGATAAGTGGAATTCTCCTTGCCCACTTGGTTGGGGAGTGAAAATGACTGTTTGTAAATACAGACCAGATGAGTTCTGGACCTTGATTGGGGTATGGTATATATGATTCCATCAATCTGAGCCTGGATGTTGCCTTTAGACTTCTTCAGGTTGATCAGAAGGATTGTCCACTTTGGTGTTGCTTTCTTTCTTCGTAAATCCTGTTGTTTGAAATGCATCATTCCGTAACTACTGGTGTGGATCCTGTCACAATGATATGTATATATCTGCAGTCCAACTGCCCTTTCCACCAATGGGCGATATAGATACCAAGACCTGTTAAATCTAGTCCTGAGTTGTGGAACCTCGGCTGCATGGTTGAGGCTGGCCCATTATACTTACTTGAGTACTCTTCCACCATTTTCATATTTCTGTAGTTCTGGATGTAGTGCAGTTTTCCCTGCTTGGGTACCATTTCTCATGGTACACCTTTATTCTATGCAGATGCTTTCTGTATGAACTATGCCTTCACCGTCCCCTCTGCCTTCTCATTTTGGAATTCTAGCTATAAATGTCAGCAGAGGTATGTATGTTTTGGAAGTTATCATTTTCCTAATCTGAAAATGTATTTCCAAACATACATACCTCCTTCCCCTCTGCCTTCTCAATTTGGAATTCTAGCTATAAATGTCAGCAGAAGTATGTATGTTTTGGAAGTTATCATTCTCCTAATCTGAAAATGTATTTCCAAACATACATACCTCCTTCCCCTCTGCCTTCTCAATTTGGAATTCTAGCTATAAGTGTCAGCAGAGGTATGTATGTTTTGGAAGTTATCATTTTCCTAATATGAAAATGTATTTCTGCTAACACTCTCCCTTCCTCCCCACTAGGAGTCAATGCTAGTGACCGGGATGGGGTAAGTCTCAAAAAGTAATTATATTGTCAACATACAGTGCTTATAAACAGTATCTGCATAGCAGGCATGTGAATGCTGGTGTAAAGTTTTGCAAAATAGATATTGCCAAGGGTAGTCGAGTGGGGTATAAAGACTGGAGCAAGCGAACATGATATTTAGATGACAAAGATGAAGATTGAGAATTAGCTATAAGTGTCAGCGGAGATAAGTATGTTTGGAAATACATTTTCAGATTAGGAAAATTATAACTTTGAAATGTATATGAACTAATACTAGACAATCAATTCCAGAGTAAGAGAATTATTAGGAACATGTTTATAAAATTTTTATCATCTTAATCACTTCTAAAAGATACTGTTAATCTCAAATATTTATTTAAATAACTTTTCTGTATATATTGAATTTATGAGATTTCTAAAAGTAATTTTATTAGCTCATATGATATTTAAGTAGAAGTTATAATAATAATTCGTGTTTGTATATAACAGCCTCAGCAACCTTCTCAGCAAGCTCTTCTTAGCCCTTATGATGTTCCTGGGACTTCTTGTCAGTCACCACTGGATGCCAGAGCTTTTAGCACTGCCCAACAGTCACTCAAAGAAGATGAAACAGAGATTCCTGCAGAACGTATGTTTAAAAAACCTGCGGAGAATATGTAGAAGAAGTTGATATTATATTTGCCAAAACATAATCAGAAAGTAGCACCACTTAGAAACTGAAATAATTTAAAAAGTTTAATCTTGAATGAATAAATAGTGGTCTTATCATATATAAAACTGTCTGTGGAAAGCTTGTGGTGATTACCAGGTATTTAAAAAATTAGTTATCTTTAATATTTTGTGATATATGTAAACAGAAATCCAGTACCAGGATAATTATAGTAATTATATGTATTTGGAAATACTGAGAAATTGAAAAATTTTTATTTTTAATGAATTTGCTTATATAATGCTGTCCTTTTTTAACTTCAAAATGTGTATAATATGATTATTCATTTTACTTCTGTCCTGTTCTTTTTTGCTAATTTTCTCTCATCAATACTTTTTTTTTTCATTCAGAGAGTGTTTTGCAAAAGATTCAGGGTTGTGTGGAGTTTGGAACTGCCATTTTTCTCTCTGTATTAATTAGTGCCACTGCCAAACTAAACTCAATTTCTAAAGAGTATCGCTATGTTGCTCAAGAGCTTTCTCTTAAAAAGTATTCTCTGAAGAAAGAGGTAAGTTTTAAAAAATACAATTTGATTTACTGTTCAAATACACAATCAGTTAAACATTTTTCAACATTCACTGTTATGTTTATTTTTGCTACTTTTTTCAGCGTTACAAGAAGCAACATCCTGAAACTTTGGAAGGCATGAAAACATCAGAAGATAAAGACCCAAGTATGTTGGGGTAAGTAATATTAAAGTATTTAAATGATAAAGGATACAAAATTACTCATTTCTGCAGTTTGAGAATTTTTATCAACTAATTTATAAGTTTGTACATTTTGTATATGAAAACAATGTTTTAGGTACATTATAAGTTTGTAAGGAATTTCTGTTGAAGAAAAACTTAGCTATTTCTTATAATGCTAGTTTTGAGATAATGTTTGTATTACTTGCTTTGTCTGATTTCTCTATAAACACAAGTCATTTTTATTTAAAAAGTTAGCCACTTCATTATACTATGATTGTATCTAACCGCAAAAAAAAAATACTTATACCTTCCCTATGTTTCCAACTATTTATTTTCTTGTTGAATTTACCAAATCACAGATTTATTATTCAACTACTGAAGAAAAATCTCAAAGTTGCTATGCAATCTTTTTCTAGAAAGTCATATTGTACACATGAAGAGGGAGGGGTGTAGAAATTAGGTTCTGTGAACTACTGTTAGCCAGTTATTAGTAAAAGTAAAATTATAACTGGTATGGGAACATCTGAGGGAAAGATGACAGTTGGCAATGGCATACATCACTGGTTAGCTTGACTTGGGAATATATTTATTACTAATGTTGGTTATTGTGCTTTTAAAGTGATTAAGAGAGATATCCTATATTTTCTAAGCTAGTCTTTACTAATGAGTAAGAAGAACTAAAAGAAAATTAAAAATGGCAAAAGGTGTCTGGGGTGATATTGCTCGTTTTTTGTTGGGAACATATTACTATGGGGGAGGCTATGAAAACTTCTGGTTTTTACAAGTAAAAATGTGATATAATAGTGAAATTGTGTTGATGGGTATGGGGTCATATAAAACATGCTCAGGTTTATAAAGATGGTTGAAGATTTTTGGAACGTATGTGACCATAAAGTCTGAAATGCAGTATTTGACATTTGATATGTGACCACACAATGTGTGCTATATTTGACTCCTAATATGTGACCACACAGTCTGAAGACTTGTTTTTGACTCTTGGTATGTGACCACAGTCTAAAGTCTGAAAGGCCATATTTGACTCTTGGTATGTGACTTCACTGTCTGAAGGGCCATATGTGACTTATAGTATGTGACCAAACAGTTGAAGATGTGCAGTAGTTGGTATGATGAACTGACTTTGCAGCAACTGCTTATGAATAAGTAAACCTTTTTTTTTCTTTTCTTTTTTTAGAAAACTTTGTTTGTCAATGGCCTTTTTTAAAATCTTAAAATAAATTTAATGGACTGTTATATAACATTCATCTAGAGCATGTTTTGGTGCACTTTATCTATTTACATCCTCAAATTTTCATGTTCTTTCACAAGTGTCAGCAGCCGTATTGTAATGAAATCAATGTAATCTTGCTCAGAACAAGAAGAAGTGAAGTAGTAAACCACATGTGATGTTTTCATTGGTTAGAATGGATCTTTATATCTGAATAAATACTACAGAAGACATTCTGGTTTGAACATATATGTTATTGTATCTATTGGTACACTCTAACAAGTAGGGTACTTAACTGGTTTTTAACAAACAAGAGATGTTGACCAATATATGGTAAAGTAGACACTGGAACTTCATATGTTGATGGTTTTCTGAAGTTTCATTTGTTCAGATAGTGACAAATTATTCTATCAATCACATGGATAGGAAAACCATTCCTGTAGAAGAATCATTTGATGTTTTCTAACTCTTTATGCAAAACATCAGAAGTTATTGAGAGTTTATACTTATATATACACATGATAAACTTAGATCTTAATTAAGTTGTTCATTGGTATATAGTTTTTGAACTTACAAGTCAGTAAAAGTCTTTATGGTAAACTTGGTGATGTTCAACAGTGAAGTTAACACTGTTAGGCTTGCTATTTAAGCACTTCTACAATTAATGAATATGACCAGTATCCTTTAAAATAGTAAAAGTGTAATACACATTGAAAATACATATTTCCAAGATGACAAACATCTCTTCTCACACAGAAAGCTATCTTCCCCATCCATGTGCTTTAAAGACTTGCATGCCACTAGCCTTTGGAAAACTATATTCATTCTATTCCTTGGAACTGAACACATCAGAAATGTTTTTCTTTGTCAATTTAATGAGATTTGCGATGTTTAGGGAACTTAATTTCCTTCGTATTTTATTCATATTATGAATGCAGTTCATGTAATGTGTTCTACTACTGGTGAGTGACTAATTTCCTCACACAGGTTGTGTAATAATTATGGCTTATGGAGGAACTTTCCCTGGTAAGGATGTGGCAGCCATTGTAAAGAGGATAGTGGGTTCCCATATGCTACCAGGACCTTCAGGTCCAGTACCTTCATCAGTCATTCCCACCCCTCATTAATGGGGTGAATGAGGAAGATGAATTTGATTGTTCCTTCACCTGCTTAGTCTTTGGGAACTTCTCTCCCTGTTGAAGAGAAACGTAAACGTTCTCACATTAATCAGCCTTGAATTATCAGGTATGCACCATTCTTTTTCTTTCCCCTGCATTATATTCTTCTTGTTGTCCCCTACTTCTTGGTCCTTACCCTAACTCATTTTGTTTACCATTGATGGACCACCTATCTGTCCGTGACATTAAGCCTCAACCTTCCTGTCTACTTGTTTCTTATTTCCTCCAATTTAGTCATTCTGTGTCCATTTTCATGATTATCACATTTGGGATTGCCTATTTGGGCGGGGGGCAAGTTATTTTCGTCAGTTTTTCTCTCTAGTACCCAATAATCCTCTCTCTACCTGATAGGCTCGGCATGGTCAGGTGGTTAGGGTGCTCGACTCTCAATCTGGGGGTTGAGGTTTCGAATCCTCGTCCCACTAAATATGCTCACCCTTTCAGCCATGGGGGCATTATAATTTGATAGTCAATCCCACTATTCGTTGGTAAAAGGGTTGGTGATTGGTGGTGATGACTATCTGCTTTCCCTCTAGTCTTACACTGCTAAATTAGGCATGGCTAGTGTAAATAGCCCTCGTACAGCTTTGCACGAAATTCGAAAAATCAAATTTTACCTAATCATTTTCACCATCTCAAGTGTGAGGCACTCCACCATGCCCCAAAGAATTTTGTAGGTGATTCTCGTTCCCTTTACTTCTCTGTTGTGGCAATCCCCTTCTACCATTCCCTGCTCACTTGCCTCCTTGTTCCTGAGGGTTGTTGGATAGGGATACTCTCCTGTTCCAGGTTCAACTTCTTTCTTCTCCTCTATGAGCTCTTTGCCTTGAAGTTCAAGGTGTTCCTGATTTGATTGAATTACAGGCTGAGGCTTATCAGCCTTCTTCCATCTGCCTGCAAGCTATGAACCATGCTGTTACTAGGATTTATGCCTATCCTACTTGTTCTGCTTGTGAGATTTAGTGTTTGATGACCATGGTTTCATGGGGACTGCTTATCTCTTTGGGTCACACATGTATGCACCTCCACCATTGGTCCTTGCACGACTAGAGCGATACCTCACAGGATTTTTTAACCTCAATGGTTTTACTGTGCCATCCTCCTTCTAGTATTTGTATGGGTGGCTGGGGGACAGATCCAATATCACCATCTGTGTTCCAATACCTCCACCCAAACCACACCTACACCTCTTCACCTATGGTTCCCCCTCTTGTTGGGGAGCAACCTTAAACATCAATTTTACATCTGGCACATCTCTCTATATGCACACCCTCGAACTTCCAGTAGACTGCTGGGCACGATCCCATTATTACCACTCCTAGTGGATCATTTCATTGTGCTCCATTCCAATAACACCTTGGTTATTCCTAAATTAAATGCCATGGAAAAATTCAATTCAGATACTCTTGCTTTCACATCTTTGACCTTTACATCTTGGGCCACTTCTCAATGGGTTGGTTTTCTAGCCTGCCATATACTGGGTACTATGAACCAGGTTATGGACTGCCTTTCTTGGCCAGCCTGAGTTCTGCCCTCAGAAGGTCTCCCCCAGTTTCTGTTGGGAGTGTTCTTTTGGGGACTTCACTCATCATTGCCTAGCCAACTATCTCACTTTCATGCTTTCTCTCTTCTGTTCTCCATCCCTTGGCCATGGCTTTCACTACATTATGCATGGTCTGGTATTTTATTTGTCATGATGCTCATCCACCGTTACAGCCTTTACCTTGGGTCCTGGTCTTGACTAGAGACACTTTTTGTTGTTTCCTTTTGGTGGTATCCCTCTAGCTGGCTCAACCTTGATTCCCTCTTCTATGCACCTGAATGACAACCCAACCCCCTCTTTCCCTGCCAATTATACACACTATTACTTCAACAGCTTCCATATATCCTCTCCCTCATGGGATTTTGTACTTCCACCTTCACATTTGAATTAGTCTTGTCCATTGCCCATTGAACCGAACTTTCCCATCTGATAATCCTTTCCCATGTTGGGCATCATTCTACCTGGTACTTCTGCCTGCATGGGGTGTGTGGCTTTTGATGGTGGTCCATCTGTCACCACCTTCCTCCTAATCGTTCTACTGTTGGACATCTTCCTTCCCTTTACCAGGCTGTTCTACAGGGATTAGCTGTTTCTGCCTGTATCAGTTATTGAGTGGTCTTGTCTTCACTGTTTTGTCGTTTTGATACTGCAAGGTGTTTCCTCTCCTGTACTCTCCACCTTGTTCCAGTCCTTCCTTATTCTACTTGCCCTATTCCTAGCCTGACCAGGACCAGTGTCCTTATGCATTTGAGCCATTGGCAACCTACACCTTCTACCAACTTCTCTTCAGATATATTCCTCATACTTCTCCTTGTGTTCATTGTCATTCAGATCTTTTTCCTAGTGACTCATCCTGTACCCTTTCCATTGTCCATCATATTCTTATTTCTTTTGGTCAGTCCTTCCTCTCTGAGTCTTCAGCCACTCAGAGAGTAGACCTCTACCTTCCTTCTATTTCACTCTTCTTGTTTGGACCTGAACAGACTTTTCTGCCTTGTTCAAACCATTCGTTGCTACTTAGCTTGTACCTCTCACTTTTGGGGGGTTT